TAAATTATACTTTTCAAGGGATGGCAAGGATAATTTGTATGAACATATACTGTAAAGTTAGTAAAGCAAATCGATTAAATGAAAGAATGAAGGACTTATGGTCAAACTGGCATATTTCTATCCAAGGCCTAAATTATTTGGTTGAACACATACACTGCCACAAATACGGAACCGCTTCCAAAATAAGTTTGACTTTGGTTGCTGAGAGCAAGCTTGATAAATGATTAAACATTTAATACAAGTCTTATTCTTTAATGATAGTACAACCACCAAATCCCATTTGTGGCTAAAACCTTGTTACCAACTATTTTTTAAATTAGCAGTCAATATCATGCTGATATATCATCCACGCTTTTAAAATTGTATAATCGGTAAATTTCATTAGGATTTTGTATTTATTTCGTGGATTTTAGAAATCTGAGCAACTAGAACAGGTGTTAACAAATTGCAACAGTTTTTAGAAATATGATTATGTTTATTTATGTCCTCAAAATTTTCATGCTCAAAAATAGGCTCAGTTTCAAATCAGCAAAATGCATCAAAATTATTAAAAGCTTTGTATACACTGATATTATTTATTCACAAACACTGGACAGCAAAAACTCTGGTGTAAAAATACTTATAGTTATCCTAGAATGGCTATTTTTAATCTTTTAAAATGTGGCTACAACAAGTACCTAGACAGAAGACAAATAAGATGATTTAAATACTTCGATAGAAAGGATGCATTAATTGTCTTCCCAACCTCTCTAATCCCTAATCTACATATCCTCGGCTATCACAGTCAAACCTAACTTAAACAATACATCTAGCTGAGAGAAAGAGTTACCTCCCCAGATGGAAGTCTTGCTCATTAAGCATTGTTTCCTCTCGTTGTCTGTGGAGATTATAAAAGAGTGTTTGTTAATGACAAATTTGTGTTTCGTGGAGGAGGCTTATTCTTTGACAGTTTGTACGATGGATTATGTTACTTATCTAAACAAAATATGTTGTTCTCCTTGCATTGTACACAAACATTTGAATTCATTAAGATCCCAATGTTTGGGGTTTCTTCAGTTCTCTGCCCAACCCCCTTATGCATTCTTAGTCTCACTTCAAGAAAATACATCAAACGTTTACAAATGGCTATTAATTAACCAACAAGCAGTTGCAATAATACCCAAGGGTTTGAAGTATTCTTCTCATGCAGTTATCGACGACATATGTAATATGACGCCCGCACATACCAACTCACACACAAAAACACAGAAGAATTTGTTACAAGGTCATTGTTTTTTTTTTCCATAGGTCTATGAAAACAAATACTGAACGGTGTGTGTTGTGTATGCATATGGTGGTGTTCGATCCGGACTGCGACGTAACAAGTCATCAGCGGTTATAATTAAGTTGTACTGTTGTTTGCCTCGACTATATAAGTAAATTCCTCGGGCGACATAGATCACTATCCATGCAGTGCTGAGCAATTGATTTCTGGCACTAGCCATTTGTCGTCTGCAAAGGACTGACGAAAGCAAGCATTCGGATAAAATAGCAGTCATATTAGGATACAATAGGATCGATGTTTTAAAATAAATTGGCTAAAAAGACCAACTTCGGATAACAATTGAGTTCGACAATGTTTGTGTCTAAACTTTTTGGCAGGGCCTTGCGACGAAGTGGAAATAGTAGTACGAAGAGATTCAAAGGTTCGCATGTAAGTATCTGCCAAATACAGTAACAATGTCATGGGGTGTGGTAGGATGATCAGTGGGTGGGAAGATGGGAAGGCACCTTTGCGAGCAATAGGAAGGTATTTGCTGTTAGAACACTTTATGATCGCTTGCAATCCAATCATTATTTAATCGTAAAACCATTGGGGCTGTGCCTGCTCTGCTTTCAGTAGCTTATCAGCTTCTAGCACGTTTTAAATTGAATTCTAATATTAATACTGTTCTTTTGAAATGCATTCTCGCACTGAAATGATCTAAGCTATCGCCGATGTACTAACGTACAAGTCATATCCAGTTACAAATATAAGAGACCAATATCTGCATAATGCGCCGTCAAACTTGGGTCCTAATAGTTAGGAGTAATCGGTTAACATTGCACAATATGTACTGGTTACCATGTGTAGCCTATGTTAACTCCATAAAACCAACCCAAACCTTAAAGTTTCTATATATTTTATCTTCTCATATTTACTTTTTACATCACGTATTCGAACGTGATGGATTCATATTGACCAAAGTGTAATAAATTGTTCATTTAAAATGGCATTAACCAAATGTTGCATGAAAATTTGAGTCAAAGCAAAATCTAAATAGTTGCGCTTTGAATTAAATTGCATTTTTCCCGTCAGGTGGATTCATTTTGCATTGAAGTTTGTCATATGCATTAATTAAGTACAGGTAAATTACAAAGCTACATAAGTAGTTTATGCTAATGCGTTGTCATTGTAATAGAAACAAACGTTACCGTAAATGTGAACGAGTGCGCATGGTTTACTCTTGGTATAGTTTGTGTCTTTATTTCTTCTATCAGGTAAATTTGCGTTAATTTCGAACTACTTTTCTCTTGTGAGATCGGTTTTAAAACATTTGAGAGAATATACAAAAGTCTATTTATTTGCTTGTCGATGGTAAATATATCTTGGCTGCAATGATCTCGTGAAACTTAATTTCTTTCATTTCTTTAAGTAACTACCTTGTCGTGTGTTTCAACGTATTCCACGATATCATCTGCTGTATTCGTTGATAATCATTCACATAAAAGTTTCCTGTACATAGCAACTTCTCCTTTCAGTTATCATATATATAAACGCTTAGAACTGCTATCTTAAAGTTCATTGCTTCACTAGTATTTTCAATTTCTTCCTAAATGTTTGGAAATAATATTATTACGGAGCCATATTATTTTTGCTGTAGGTAAAGATACTGTAGTTTAATAGCCCTCTTCCACTAAAGTTTCGTAAATGAATTTCTTCACTCTCAATACTTCAATAACAAGCAAGGATTCCATCCGACAATGTTATTAGATAATGACAATATACAGTGTTACATAAAGCTGCTTTAGTACCTTTAACATTTTTCGTTAAATAATTTAATAATATTTCTGAAAATATTTTTGAGTAGGTGATCTATCAGCACGTTTTTAATAATATTTTCTGCCAAATGTTTAGTAAATGTCTAACATGATACGATATATGATTGCAGATCAGTGCCCCTGGTTCAAAATGATTAATAATCGGAAGATACTAAAACCAGTCTGTTATCTCCAAATTTTAGGCTCTGGAACGTTGAACCTTGATATGACTGCAAACCTTGCCAGTGTCCTATGGCAATGTAACAAATTCTTGTTTAGCTTGTCGACTTCCAACTGTGAGACTAAAGTTCTATTGATCTAAACTGAGTTAAGAAGCTATGATGATAAAACGAGATAATATTATAGACTTTTTTTTAGTGAAAATGTAAAAATGTAAAGATCATATAAATATTCTGACTGCATGTTTTAAGGATTTTATATTGTCTTCTCGTTATCTTTCATATAACTGTTATATAATTTTAATGCCTTTACACTTTATCTTTAGAGTGAGAGCAGTAAAATGTTTATTTTATTTGGAAGGGTATAACTTATTAGAGCAGTAAAATATTTATTTTTATTTGGAAGGATATAACTTATTAGAGCGGTAAAATGTATATTTTTATTTGGAAGGGTATAATTTATTAGAGTATTTCAAGCCACGTATGTGTCGCTACATTTTTACAACTCAACTTTCAACTGATATCATATAGCCAGTATAGTACTGACGTACATATAAACTTAAGCATGTATACAGATTCATTCGCTACACGAAAATATCAATCAGATAATTTAAATTTTAAAGGAAAAAGGTCAACGTTATCAGTAAATATTGTGTCAATGTTTTGTTCCTGTTTCTAGTGATGTTTTCCAGGATTTTCTTTTAATACCTTTGTATTTCAATCTTAGTCTTTTGCTCTGGAAAGTATAAAGATGAAATGTAATCTATTTTACATTTATTCTGCCAGTCCTGAAGAAAAAAGTTGCATTCATTTTCAATGAGAGAACGACGTTTTTGCATCAAAATACCTTTCTGCATAAAATTGCAACACTTCTTATAATAAATAGGTATTATTAAAAATATACGTCGTAATTGATCATCAACTTATTTTGAAATTATGATTAACTTATAGTTTCATCTTTCACAAAATTGTGAATCGCGTTGACTTTGACGTCTATATCGATATGATTATGAAATTTACATTGCCCTAAATGTTTTACCACGATAAAAATCTGTAATTACACACGACCACAACGCCTCTTTATATACCAGTTTAAAACGATATTGATGCCGCAATGTTCTCTTCCAGTCAGTCTTAAGGGCCGTTGACACTGAATTTTTTATTGAATTTTCCTTGGAATTTGTAATTGAAATATGGCTGAAATTGCGTGCAAAGACAACCCTATTCATCACAATACCTTTCCATTTTGTGCGTGATAGCAATCGAATTTGCATTGAGCAATCATTCCATGACGTTTTAATGTTATTTCTCACAAAATATGTATAGATGCTAATCTGACACTTTTTTAACAAAGTAATCTGGTTAAATTTTAATGAAATAAATTTATAATTTTAGCAGAGGTTTAAATTCAGTGCAATTGCAGTACCTGTTGTATAAAAGTAGACTTTCTTACAAAATTTATTGAAATTGTGTGCAATAGCAACACATTGTGTGTGTGTGTGTGTGTGTGTGTGTGTGTGTGTGTGTGTGATTTATATTTTTGACATAGCTTTAACAATTTTTTAATCATATCGCTACGATGTCTGCAGTGTGACAGTTTATAATAATGTCTAGCACTGGGCCATCATGCCGCTGATATGTGGCATGGTGTCCCACCCATTCACATTATCCTGACACCAGGCTAATCAGTCGTAACCTTAACTTCTTAATGTTGAGCGCCAAGTGAGGCAGCTGTTAGTACCATTTTTAAAGTCTTTGATATGACTTGGCCGGGGATGGAACTCACGACCTCTCGCATCCGAGGTGGACGCTCTAACCACTAGGCCACCGAAGCGGTCACAGATTTTGTAATAATTATTGCAATTTGCAACTTTGTTACAATAGTGTTTCTCATACATCATGCAACAATATATGCGATATGCTGTTTTGTCCATTGAAATTGCGGGCTGAATTAGTCGACTCGACAAGAAACACAAGTACAGATTTTAATCAGAGAATTTGTTCAAATAAAAAATCCTGAAAACGAGAGTCTAGCATATTGGAACAAAGCAATAAAGCCAGTGTAAATATATTGTTTTCTATTTATTTCGTCCTAGTTGGTCAATCGTATGTGATTCCCGCCTTGAAAATTACAATATATATTGTTCATTAAAAAGAGAACATTTATCAATAGCACATAGTTGTAGCTTCTTGAGATCTGAATAGATAGTTGCTCCCTTTTCTCATGATAGCAAATGGCTTATATATGAGCACTCAGTAAATGAAATTGCCTATATTCACACATCTCCCAAACAAAAGTGATTACTGAGTCGAGTTCACTGTATGCATTTCATTATTTTAGATTGCACAGTTTATCTTCTAGCACTGGCTACATCCAAAACATGGAGCTGTCTTCATCTACACCACGGCACAATCTACCTCTACATCTATACCATGGCACTATCTATGTCTAGATCTATACCATGGCACTATGTCTACATCTATACCATGGCACTATCTATGTCTAGATCTATACCATGGCACTATGTCTACATCTATACCATGGCACTGACTATGTCTATATTTATACCATGGCACTGTTTATGTCTACAGCTATACCACGGCACTGTCTACATATATACCATGGCACTGCCTATGTATGCATCTATACCATGGCACAGTCTATGTCTACATTTATAACATGACACTGGCTATGTCTACATATATACCTTGGCACTATCTATTTCTACATTTATACCTTGGCACTATCTATGTCTATATCTATACCAAGGCACTGCCTATATCTACATTTATACCATGGCTCGGTCTAAGTCTACATTTATACCATAACAAAGTCTAGGTCTATATCTATACATTGGCCCTATCTATGATTACTTCTATACCATATCACTTTGTCAACATCTTTGCTATGGCACTGTCTATGTCTACATCTATACCATGGCACTGTTTATGTCTACATTTATACCATACCACTGTCTATGTCTATATTTATACCATGGTTCTATCTATGTCTCTATCTTTACCATGGCACTGTCTATGTCTATATTTATACCATGACACTGTTTATGTCTACATCTGTAACATGGCACTGCCTATGTCTACATTTATACCATGGCACTATCTATGCCTACATATATGCCATGGCACTGCCTATTTACGCATCTATACCGTGGCACTGTCTATGTCTACATTTATACCATGACACTCTCTATGTCTACACATATACCTTGGCACTATCTATGTCTACATCTATACCATGGCACTATTTGTGTCTACGTCTATACATTGGTACTATCTATGTTAAGATCTATACCACTACACTGCCTATGTTTACATTTATACCATAGCACGGTCTATGTCTACATTTATACCATGACAAGGTATATGTCTTGGCCCTATCTATGTTTACATCTATACCATGGCACTATTTCTACATCTATGCTATGGCACTGTTTATGCCTACATCTATACCATGACACTGTCTATGTCTACATTTATACCATGACACTTTTTATGTCTATATTTATACCATGGCACTATCTATGTCTACATCTACACCATGGCACTGCCTATGTATACGTCAATACCATTGCACTATTTATGTCTACAACTATACCATGGCACTGCGTATGTCTACATCTAAACCATGGCACTGCCTACGTCTACATCTATACCATCGCAGTGTCTATGTCTACATTTATATCATGACACTGTTTATATCTACAGCTATATCATGGCACTGTCAATGTCTACATCTATACCATGGCACTGGCTATGTCTACATCTATACCATCGCAGTGTCTATTTCTACATTTATATCATGACACTGTTTATGTCTACATCTATATCATGGCACTGTCAATGTCTACATCTATACCATGACACTGGCTATGTCTACATCTATACCATCGCAGTGTCTATTTCTACATTTATATCATGACACTGTTTATGTCTACATCTATATCATGGCACTGTCAATGTCTACATCTATATCATGGCACTCGCTATGTCTGCATTTATACTATGACACTGTTTATGTCTACATCTATACAATGGCACTGCCTATGTCTACATATATACCATGGCACTATCTATCTATCTATCTATCTATCTATCTATCTATCTATCTATCTATCTATCTATCTATCTATCTATCTATCTATCTATCTATCTATCTATCTATCTATATATATATATATATATATATATATATATATATATATATATATATATATATATATATATATATATATATATATATATATATATATATATATATACCATGGCGCTGTCTATGTCTACATCTATACCATGAAACTGTTTATGTCTACATCTATACATTGGAAAAGTCTATGTATCTATTTTTACCATAGCGCTGTCTGCGTCTACATCTATGCCATGGCACTGCCTATGTCTATATCTATACCATGGCACTGTCTATGTCTACATTTATACCATGATACTGTTTATGTCTACATCTATACCATGGCACGGACTATATCTACATCTATACCATGGCAATGTCTATGTCTATATTTATACCATGATACTGTTTATGTTTGCATCTATACCATGGCAATGCCTTGGTCTGCATCTATACCATGGCACTGCCTATGTCTACATATATACATTGGCATTGTCTATGTCTATATTTATACCATGGCGCTGTCTAGGTATACATTTATACTATGGCACTGCATACAGCTTCACCATGGCACCATGGTTACATATACACTATGGCACAGTCTACTTCAAAACCATGGCACTGTCTACATCAATACCATTGCACTATCATAATCTATACAATGGCTCTGTCTACATACTTACCATTGTACTGTCTAAATCAATTCTACGGCACTGTCTACATCCATAGCAAGACACTGTCTACATCCATACCATGTCACTGTCTATGTCCACACCATGCCACTTTCTACATTCATGCCATGATACTTCCTACATCTATAACCATGCCATTGTCTGCATCTATACCATGACACTATCTACTCCTCTACAATTATACTATATACATCTCTACCATGACACTATCTACATCCATACCATGACACTGTCTACATCCATACCATGACATTGTCTACATTCTTATCCTGACACTGTATATATCCATACCATGACACTGTATACATCCATACCATGAAACTGTCTACATCAATAACATGACACTGTCTACATCTATACCATATACCATGACACTGTCTGGATCTATACCATTACACTATATATATATATATATATATATATATATATATATATATATATATATATATATATATATATATATATATATATATATATATATATATATATATACCATGACACTATCACTATCCTTACCATGTCAATGTCTACGTCCATATTATGACACTGTCTACAATCATGCCAAGACATTTTCTACATCTATAACCATTGCCACTGTATGCATCTATAACATGACAATATCTACATCACTACTATGATACTGTCTACATCCATAGCATGTCACTGTCTACATCCATACCATGTCACTGTCTACATCCATACCATGACACTGTCTGCATCCATACCATGATACTGTCTACATCCATACCATGACACTGTCTTCGTCTCTACCATGACACTGCCTACATCCATATCATGACACTGTCTATATTCATACTATGACACTGTCTACATCTATACCCTGATACTATCTATCTATCTATCTATCTATCTATCTATATATATATATATATATATATATATATATATATATATATATATATATATATATATATATATATATATATATATATATATATATATATACCATGACACTGTCTATATCCACACCATGCCACTGTCTACATCCATACCATGTCACTGTCTACATATAGACTATGTCCCTATCAACATCTATACAATGGCACTGTGTACTTCTATACCATGACACTATTTACGTCTATACCATGACACTGTCTGCATCCATTCCATGAGCCTGTCTACATGTATACCATGACACTGCCTACATCCTGTCCATAACAATGTCTACATTCATAACATGACACTGTCTACGTCTATACCATGACATTGTCTACAGCCGAACACTGTCTACATTCATACCATGACACTGTCAACAGCTATAACATGGCACTGTATATATCTATACCATGACACTGTCTGCATCCATATCAATACACTATCTACATCTATACCATGACGCTGTCTACATCCATACCATGGCACTGTCTACAGCTATAACATGACACTCTCAAATTCTATACCATCACCCTGTGTACATCCATACCAGGACACTATCTACTTCCATACCAAGACACTATCTACATCTATACCATGACACTTTCTACGTCTATACCATGACAATGTCTACGTCTATACCCGACACTGTCTATACCATGAGAATCTGATTAAAACATCTTAGTGCACTACCCAGAAGAATGGGCCCTGTGCACCAAATCATTAAGGATCTCAAACAAAAATGGAAGACATTTCTCAACGTTTAGCAGCAAATCATAAATCTCAGTGATGAGATTATCCCTTTGCGAAATGTTTCAAAATTTGCACCTTCTTACAAGTTGCAGCCCCAAATAGTTTCATTAAGAATACTGTTATATTTCAAACAACCCGTTAAACATGGCTGCCGGATTCATTTCTTCATTGTCGTCTTGTATACAATTTTGTAATCTCCATTAGATCTGAATAGCTATTGACAGTCACCAGCCGTTAATAACCCAGTGGGAATCGGTCAAACCGATCAACGAGGCTGAAATCTGACTAACGGCATTCATCTAATAGGCTTCATCCACAGTTTCACATTTAAATAACATTCTCGTCTGACAGTGCT